AATACTTGTTCAGCAATAATTGCTTCTTCTGTTGTTGATCACAATTCTGTTCATCTCTCCATTTATTTTTAAGTAGTTGAGTCAAAGACTCTTTCTCTCATCACTACACTACATTATATAAATTGCGATTTCGTTGCCTGTCTTCGTCTTCCTTTGCAATGAAGTTATATCTTTTGTAGTTCTCATTTTCCTTTTTCGATGTTCTTTTTTCTATTGTTTTTTCTTATTACCTCTGTAATTATGTTGGACATAAAGGTTACAGAGGAGGTGCTGCGTAAATGAGCGTATGCGGAAAGTATCATTGTTGGTTATTTTCATACATCATATTTGTAGGAGTAAAGAGCAGATGGCCCCCCCTCTCTCTCTCTCTCTCTCTCTCTCTCTCTCTCTCTCTCTCTCAATATTTCTTATTATTTTTATTTGTATATATAATGCATTATGGGGGGTGATGATTGGTGTATGTACAGATGGACTTTGCAGATATGAGGCGCATTCATGGGATAACAGTTGTAGAAGAGAGGGACAAATACGTAAAGAAAGCCAATGTATGAATTTTTTTGGTTTCGAATCTTCTCTACATTCGGACACTCTCTGTACAAGTTATTTCATATGCTGTTAGCTTGTTGCCAATGTTCTTTTTAATCTTCGTCTTGAAAAATACAATTACTTGCTCATTTTCTTACTCTACCTTAGTGTTCTCTCTTCAATAGGCTGTTGTGATTCAGCTCGGACTTGCTATTGACAGTAGCAAGGCAACACTAGATGTGAAAACAAGACTTGCCTGTGAGATGGTTAAATACTGGCAGTAGGTATTATAGAGAACTTTATTCAAGCTATGAGACTAGCAGTTTCAAAACTTAAAAATAACAAAAAAAAATTTCTTTTCATAATTACAATTTGGCCAACCAGGTTATCAAGTTCTCTAAAATTGTTAGTTCTCCTAAATTTCTTGCATTCCTGACATTTCTTAGCTCCCCAATTTCTTTGTTCTATTTCCTTGCTTTAATTTTTTGTTTCTAATTTGATGGAACAGTTGGGGCTGCAGTAAATTTCAGTAGAAAAGGATGGAGGCTTGGGGATTCATTTTGCAGTTGATGGTGATCGCCGAACGGCGGAGATAAACGGTGCATATTTCCATTTACAGACTTACAAATAATTGGGTATAACTTTCCCTTTTATGTAAATATATTTGGGATGATTTCATTTTGTGGTGCAGAGAAAAAAAATATTTATATGTACAATTTTCCCAAAATTTGAGCTATTTCAACTGAGAATTCTGTTGCTTTTGGCCATAATCCCCATAGGCGACGTCTGATCTTCAGTAATTATTTGCCTATGTTTTTTCTCTTGCTATAGCAAATTATTACTTGGATGTACCTAGTTGTGGGTTCTTGTTATTTTTTCATTATAGATGGATTCCATATAATAAAAAACTGTGTCATTCGTATTTTTGGGTGATTATTAACTGTAATAAGAAAAAAATGGTTGGGCTGCATCGATATTAAATTGGCCGGATATCTAATCTTTCAAAGACTTATTAATAGTTTTATGCTTTAATAGCCTCTAAGAATGCAATACTTTTGCAACTATTAATAGTTCTATGCTTTAATAGCCTGGTGGTCTTAATAAAGGGTAAACCGTTTGTTTTATCACAAGCTGTAAAACATTTAGTGATGAGAATAATTGGTACCTTTTACTTATCTATTTCCCTAAAAGCTTACCTCTTTTCATTTCTTCTCTTACATATTTTTTCTTTGGAAACTTCAAAACTACACATTGTGACAGTTACTGTACTTTTACCTCTACTTTTAATGAATGAATCTTTTGGTATATGGAAACTTATTTCATTGGTTATTGCAGTTCTACAGTTCGAATTCACATCTTGCAGGGTACAATTAATCATCAACGATATTGAAATACAAGAATTAGAGCATGGAAGGAGGAGAACGAAAATTTGTGTAAGGGTGTCCTGCGGTTCTTCTATGACGTGTTATCTCTGGAGGAATTGTATAAATGATTACATCTTTGAATTTTTAGGTGTATTACGTAATTTTTCGGTATATTCCTTTTTTGTTCGTAAATTGCAGCCTATTTGTAAATTTGTTAAATTTCAATTCTTGTGATTTATGAGCCTCGAAATTTTTTCTTTATATTATTTTATGTTCATTAACTTTACCTTTGTTTGAGTACTTTATTGAATTCGAGTTCATCTCGTGTTTTAGTCTCTGAACAAATGAGGCTGGTTATACTGGAGATTCAAAGAACACAAGTGTTTCTGGTGTTAGTTGTGGAGTCCAAATTTGAAACTTACTAAAAAATGTTGGTCACTTTTTGTTGAATTTTCCATGGCCTTTAAAGGGATTTTCCAGTTTAGGCTGCCATATAGCTTTCTTCGATTTCTTGGAAATTATATCTTCCTTCCTTCCTACCAGTCATGGGAATACATTTATGTTACTTTTTGTTCGTCCATCTTCTTATCATTTTAGGTCTGCTACGCCGTATAACTTGGGCACAGCCACCGCGCCTTGCGCGGTGGACACAACTAGTATATATATATATGCAATGCACCGCACAATGTGCGTTGACTGTTGGCCATGTTTGAAATGCCTAGTAGAACAACTTAATTAAAAAATGAGATGATATCTTCGGATTTAAAAAATTGTTTAATTTGAAAAGAAAAATTAAGAAAATAACATAGCAGTTAGGGATGAAAGTCGGGTGGATCGAATTGGAATTAGCCTTTTCGAAAAAAAATCAAAAATTTTATGAAGTACAAAATCAATTCCAATTCCAAGTCCCTAAATTTCAAAATCTAAAAATTTATTCAAATTCCAATACGCCAAAAAGTTTCGGAATTGTGGAAATCACGTAAGTTTTAAAATTTCAAAACTTAGCGGAAATTTTCTAAAAGTTTCATAATTTTCCATGAAAAAAGAAATATAAAACACATTATAATATCGAATAAAACATCACAACAATTCAATACGTCAAAATGCTAAAACAAAACTTAAATCAAATTATTTTTTTGGTTAAAAAACTTAAAACAAGTATTATATGATATATATTATTTATAGATGTATTTTTCGGAAAAAAAACCCGGAATTTTTTGGAATTAATTCGGAAATTAAATTGGATTGGAATCATAAATTCCAAATATTGTTTATATAATTTTAATTCCAGTTCCAAAATATCATTCGAAAATTAGAATTTCAGAAATCGGAATAAAAAAATTTATTCGGAAATAAAAACTTATCGAATCGAAACCGGCGGAAATTGCAATTTCTTTCGAACTTGCACCCCTAATAGCAGTGCATGAAATAATTGGATGACCATAATGCAGGAGTACTGTTCAAATATGACACGGAACCCGATGAGTTGTAAGAAGAATTGGGTGGGGTCTACTCTTGGATGAGAAAAGGCTGGAGAAAATAAGGGGTAAATAGGTCAGTTTGTTAAAAAACGAGCCGTTTGCATAGCCAATGGGCAATGGGGGAAGAGGATTAACTATTCCAAGTGACGGTATGTGACGTCAGAATTTAGAGGTGGGGCCGGCAGAAGCATGCTGGAGAGTAAAATCAGCAACAATAATAACGGAAAAGGGGAAATAATTTCAGTGGCCGTTTCTTGGGCAGAAATTAGATGAGACGTGGGCGTTTAACATTAAATGGGCAGAAAATAAATGGTAAAGAAAATGAGTTTTTTAGTCCTGTAAGTTTACTAGTTCGAACTTTTAGTCCATCATATTTTAAAATTAAAATTTTAGTCTTGTAAGTTGTTCTTAGATTTATAGAGCTAATTGCACATAACACCCTCTGTAATTTCGAATTGCCGAAAAAGTCCTCGTGTTAAAAATATTAGCAAGGACCCCCCTATGTTATGTTTTACGAAGCACACCGCCCCTTACGTCAAAATTGATGGTTGACTTGTATGTAATGACTAAACTACCCCTAGTACGTTCTTAGTAATTTTCAGTTTTAAACAAAAAAAAGACGAAAAAAAAATCACACGCAAACCACATTGCCCGTCTAGGAAAAGGAGAAGAATGGTTGGTGACAATGGTGGGTGGGGGTTCTTTTTTACCCCTCCGATTTTGACGGCGATATTCAGAAATCGAAGAGCGGTAGTGGCGGCGTCGACGTCGTTTTCCACCCACAAAATCTGTACGATTACGGTGGCCGGAGAAGAGGGGAAGGTGGTTTCATGTGTGGAAATTAATGGTGGGATGGGTCACGAGACGTGGGTGAGAGTTGAGAGATTGGATAAGGGTTTGTGTGGGAATAGTCGGCCTGTTTTCTTCAGAGGTGTCGCCACCATTGTTGCCAAGCTGTTCAATATTGTCGAGCCTGATGTTGCTGTGTTTGGGAAGAAGGATTATCAGCAGTGGAGGATTATTAAAAGGATGGTAAGTAACAACAACTCGAATTCCATTTCCGAATTTCAATTTTTTATTTTATTTATTCGTGGTTGTTTTAATGGACTGACTGATTTAGATGATCGGAAAATATACAAGCTGTGGGAAAATGCCAATGCCAGTATTGTAATATCGAAAAAAAAAAGTTTTGTTCGATGCAGTCAAATAGTTCGATTTTTTTCTTGACCTTGTATGGATGATTGATTCTGAGATCTCGATTTCGGGATAAATGTGATTTGGAATAGAAATGAACTTCATGTTCAGATATGGGTTTGGTTTAAGAATTGGAGAGGTGCTCTTGAATGTTGAAGAAGATGGCTTAATTGAAAATATAGAGGACTCAATTGAAAATCTTAAAAACTTCATTTTGGTACTTATAAAATTTTTGGTTGCATTTTGGTATTTGGTATCGAAAAAAAAACCCCACTCTCATCCATGGCGAGTGAAGTGCACGGTGAGCTCTTTAGGGCCTTATTGCCTTTGACTAATTATTATAGGGGGGTATTTGCTAATTGTTTTAACACAAGGTCTTTTTCAGCAATTAGAGATTACACAGGGGTGGTTTTTGCAAAAAACCCTAGATTTATACATGGAGGATGTTCTTGCTCGATTACGATCTAGGCTAAAGCTAACATATGAAGAGTTGGAAACCACACCTCCATTGGAAGCTTGGAAGAATATGGATCTCAATACCGATCTTCAATTGATAGGGCGTATCTTGTCCCGTAAGAAGATAAATCGGGACGCTTTGGAAATAACGATGCCTAAAGTTTGGAGTCCAGTTCATGGAACTTCAGTGGAGAAAATAGGAGAAGGAAGATTCATTTTCCACTTTAAACATAAGCTTGATCGTGCTAAGGCTTTGGAGGACGGACCATGGTGTTTTGATAAGAATTTGACCATGCTAGACAAGATAAGTGAGGATAAAACTCCAAAACAAATTAGTTTGGATTGGCGTGACTTCTTTGTTCATGTGTCGGGGTCGGGGCTACCGCTTCTTGAGCGGAATAGGGCTATGGCTACCCATATCGGAAACACACTGGGATTTTTGAAGATTAACGAATGCAAGGATGGCTTTCCGGTTTTTGGTGATGTGCTACGGATTAGAGTTTTGATTAATGTTACCAAGCCTTTACGTCGGCTAGTGAAACTAAGTAACACCAAAGGAGAAATTACGGAAGTGTCTCTCGAATATGAACGTCTCCCAAACTTCTGCTACTACTGTGGTTTAATGGATCATATCTCTGGGGGATGCGCAATGGTATACTCTTTCTCACCGGAGCAAAGGGATGATGAACCTCCGATCCATATGGAGATTGGCTCAAAGCTACTTCCTCCGTCGCAGGCAACGATCCAGCAAGCAAATTAAAGCGTAATGAAAGTATAGAGGGCAACGAGGTTCCGATAGGTGATGGTGGAACCTCATCTCGAAGAGCAGCTGACCTAGGAATTCGGACGATGGCGTGCATGGGATTGGAAGCTGATTTTTCTCCCCACAATCAAAGCCAATCAGTGATTTCGCATAATCAAGAATCCCAACAAATCGGGGAAAATACTGAGTTGACGGGCTATTTCCATAACCAAAGCATTGTTTCCTTGAATAAGGTCAACGGGAATATTATGGGAAATGTTTTTAAAGGGTGGCTAATGAGATGGCTGTGGACCCAAGTTTATTTCTTGGGCCCTTTGGTCAAAACGAGCCCTCCACAGGTCTACATAAATCTTGTGGGCCGAGCTTAAGAATGGCCCAATTTGACTTTAGTGGACAACTTTGTAATAAGAAAAATAATGGCCCAATTATATCACATATCAATGACCTGGAAGCTTTCAATAATCATGTCCAGAGAGTGGCGAATTCAGGATTTTTGTCAAGGGGTTCGAAATTAAGTAGAGAAAAATATATAATGGTGGAGTAAAAGTTTATGGGGTTCGAGGGCAGCGCCCCCGATATTTGTTTTTAATACTATACACATAAACAATGAAAATATGTAATAACATCAAATTTAAAAAGATTATTTACAATTTTTGGGATAATTAGGAAATATTTAGAAAGAAAATTGTTGAAATTGTGTAGCAAAATATATATTTCATTAGGAGATTTTAATTTTTTGAAATATTAAAAAATACCCACATATTTAAAAATTTAGAAAACAATTGAAATATTCATATGGTAAAAAAAATTAGAAATTAAAAGGCATATAGGAAGGGTACAAAAAATTAGAAATTAAAAAACCAATAATAATAATTAGAAATTAAAAGGCATATAGGAGGAAGGGCACAAAAAATTAGAAATTAAAAAACCATTAATAATGGATTCAACGGGTTTTCGAAGACTGGTTATTTTGGGATTTCTAGAGTAACTGCCATATCAGCTACAATAAAATACTGTAAATTCTTCGCATGTAAATATATAGGTAAACTTTTGTTTTTGAAATCAAGGGTGTGCAGCTGCACACCCTTGCACCACAGTGGATACGCCACTGTGTCCAGAGCAATCCTGCTTCGAAGCTGGCGAGAGGACGGAGACGCAAACCGAAATTGGTGGATGATGGAAAGTCTGTCGAGCAGCCCCGCCGGTCGCCATGAGTTGCCTCGTCTGGAACTGTCGTGGTTTAGGGGGACCTCGAACAGTTCAGGAGCTTAAAGATCTTATTCGAGCTCATAACCCCCGTATCATCTTCCTATCGGAAACTAAATTATCTGGTAGGAAGTTTGAATTAGCTAAGATGCTTTTGGATTTTCATGCTGTTTGTGTGGCAGCTAGAGATTTGTGAGGAGGATTAGCTCTTCTCTGGCAAAAAAATGTTCAAGTTTCATTACAAAGCTTTTCGGTTAATCACATCGACGCGCATATTATTGAGGCAAAAGCAAATAATTTTTGGCGGTTTACTGGTTTTTATGGCGACCCAAACGATTCATTGAGATACCAATTGTGGCATTTGCTGAGGCAGTTAGCGGCACGATCGAGTCTGCCGTGGTTATGTGCAGGCGACTTCAATGCGGTTTTGTCAATTTCGAAAAAAGACGGACATACCTTGGCGTCTTCTAGGGATATACAGGGCTTTAGTTCATGTCTTCAGGATACAAATCTAAACGACTTGGGCTTCTTTAGGTATCCTTTTACTTGGAGCAATAATAGGAGAGCACCGTTTACTACAAGAGAACGACTTGACAGAGACCGAATGGATGGAGATGTTTCCGAATCATCGCGTTGTTCACTTGAATGCTATATTTTCAGATCATCTCGATATTCTTATAGAATGTAAACGGGGGAATACTACAGTACAATGGCAGCGCAAAAAAAGTTTAAAGTTTGAGGCCATGTGGCTCAAATCAGAGGACTGCGAACGCATAATCAAAGAAAATTGGTTTCCTATTCTTGATCATCATGGTAGGGGTGCTCAGTGGAGTCACTTGGAAAGCTGCAAACTAGGCTTGTTAAGTTGGAGTCGAGAGTCATTCGGCGGTGTCCAAAAAAGGATCAAGGATCTTAAGGAGGGAATCGTGAAGTTGAAAAAACAGGTTCTTACGGCTGATGTGAGCTCTAAAATTAGTACTATGTCTAGTGAACTGGAGGAATTACTAGACAAACATGAGATGATGTGGAGACAACGCGCTAAAGTCCATTGGATGAGAGAAGGCGATAAAAATTCAAAAAATAAAATTCATGCTAAAGCCCCTTCCAGACGAAGAAAGAACACCATTGTGGGTCTGTACAATGCTAATGGAACATGGTGTGAGGAAAAAACAGGCCTTGAAAATATTGCTTACGAGCATTTTCAATCCATATTTACGTCAAATAATCCGTCAATGGCTGCGATGGATGAGGTCTTGGGAGCTCTTGAGCCTCGGGTCAGCGATGAAGTGAATGGGGTTTTAGGAGAGGCGTATACAATGGAGGAGGTTAAAAAAGTGCTCGATGGCATGCACCCCTTAAAATCTCCAGGCCCCGATGGTTCCCCTGTGGTTTTTTTATTAGCGTTTTTGGAGCATAATTGGCAGCGATGTTACAAATTGGGTCTTAAGGCTTCTAAATCATAAAGAATTTTCCAAGGCAGGTAATTTCACGCATATTGTTCTTATCCCAAAGTGTGCTAGCCCGGAAAGTATAACACAATTTCGCCCCATCAGCTTGAGTAACGTGGTTTACAAGATTGCCTCCAAAGCCATAGTGAACCGGTTGAAACCACATATGAATGATATTATTTCCGAGACTAAATCAGCTTTTGTTCCGGCACGCCTAATTTCTGATAATATTCTTATTGCATATGAGGTGGTTCATTATATGAAGAGGAGTAAAGCTGAACATATGGCCGTTAAATTGGATATGAGTAAAGCTCACGATAGAATCGAGTGGAATTTCCTTCGTCGAGTAATGCTCAGGCTTGGGTTCTTAAGCGAGTTCATTGAGTTGGTTATGCTATGTGTCTCCACGGTCACTTATTCTTTTGTTCTAAATGGAGTGTCTTTCGTACTTCTTAAACCAGAGAGGGGGTTACGTCATGATGACCCAATTTCACCCTATCTCTTTCTATTTTGTACGGAGGCATAAAGTTCTTTGATTAAAAGAGAAGAATTTCGTGGAAATATTGCGGGTTTGTTGGTTTGCGCTCGAGCTCCCCGGGTATCTCACTTACTTTTTGCCAATGATACTATGATCTTTTGTAATGCTAATGTTACTTCGGCTAAATGTATTAAAAATATTTTGCAAATAGACGAAGAGGCCTCGGGTCAAAAGGTGAATTATACGAAGTCAAGTATCGCTTTTAGCAAGACGACTAGTACACACAATATTTCGTTGATTCGCTCGATAATTCCAATGGAGGTGGTTGATAATCACGATAAATATTTAGTCCTCCCTTCCGCCTTAGGAAAATCAAAACGGGAAGCTTTCACCTATCTTCGTGATCGAGTGTGTCAACGGCTTCAAGGATGGAAAGAAAAGTGGCTTTCGAAGAGGGTAAATAAATTCTTATAAAGTCGGTGATTCTATTCCATCTTATGCAATGAGTTGTTTTCGTCTCCCAAGGTACTTTACGAAAGAAATTGAGAAGCTTATGAGTAAGTTTTGGTGGGAAAGTAATAATGGAAAAGGAATTCATTGGGCTAGATGGCAAGAGCTGATAACAACAAGGAGTTTGGGGCCCTTGGTTTTCAGGATTTACATGCTATCAATAATGCCCTCCTTGCAAAACAGGTCTGGCGCTTATTGGAATCCCCACACAGCTCACTGGCAACAATTTTCAAGGCTAGATATTATCCTCACTCGAGTATTCTGGACTCATCTCTGGGGTCGAATCCATCCTTCACTTGGTGGAGTATTTAGGGAGTGGTTGATCTTGTAGAGAAAGGTACTCGGTGGAGGATCGGAAATGGGGCAAGTGTGAACATATGGGGGAGTAAATGGCTCCCTAGGGAACGAACGTTAAAAGTTTTCTCCCCACGAGGTCATTGGCCGTTAGAGATGAAGGTACAAAATCTTATCGATAGTGATACGGGTCAATGGAATTTAAATATGATTAATTCCATTTTCAATGCCGTGGATCAAAAGTGCATATTGTCCATACCACTGGGAACGTTGAAAAATGAAGACCGCCTAATTTGGCATTATAACAAAAACGGTTTATTTTCCGTCCGTAGTGCCTCCCACTTTGCTCTCAAAGTTGAGAAATTAAAAGTTGGTCTTACTCCATAAACTTGCTCCTCTTTAGCTCCTTTGATTTCATGGAAATGGTTATGGAACTTGAATCTACCAAATAAAGTTAAGATCTTCCTTTGGCGATGCTACAAGAACCTTCTACCCCCTCGAAAAAAGCTTGTGAAAAGAAAAGTCTTGGAGGATACCCTATGCGAAATATGATGTGTAGGTGAAGAAGATGCCATTCACAGCCTATCCTTATGTATGTTCGCTAGAAAAGTTTGGGCGATTACTGGAGTGGCGTGGTTGATACATTGGCCGAATGATTTCTCTTTTGTCGACTGGATTATGAATATGAAGGATAAAATCGACAAATCCGATTTTGAATACTGTATAGTTATTTGTTCGGCTATATGGCATGCAAGGAAAAAGAGGGTTTTTTAAGATGTTCATCGATCGGCTCTTGATGTTATCGTGTTGGCAAATAAATTCCTTGGAGAGGTGCGTGGTTCTGCTGAGGTGTTTTGCACGAAGCTTGGTCCATCTGTGAGAACATTGAATTCCAGTTGGGAGGCCCCTCCAAGAGAAGAAGTTAAAATTAATTTTGATGCTTCTCTAACTTCGACTGACCATGGCTGTGGTTTGGGTGGCATGGCGAGGTCGGCTGATGGAAGTTTCCTAGGTTAGTTCTCTACTTGGAGCTCATCTCTCCTCGACTCTACTTCACCCGA